AAGAGCGTCATAAATCTGAACATAAAAAGTGAAAATTACATTTTTACAATTAAAAAAAAAAATCACTTTATCACAGTAAAAACAACACAAGATCCCAATCATAAACAGGCACCATGACCAAAAAAACAGAAAAAAAATAATAAACAACTTTTATTTCATTCTTTTCTGTTGTTTTTTTTAAAAAGATTTTTTTTATTTCAATCAAATTGAAGTGTTTGCACAGTTATGATAATGATGCTTCTGTTGATCACTCACTCCCTCCTTCAATCCCCTCAATCATCCACTCACTATTCCCCAGGGTCCGTTCAGGATCTTGGAGGTCACGTGGAAAAGCTCAACAGAAAACTTCAGGAACTCATCCTCGTACTCAAAGTGTTTGCCAAACAGAACCTGGCAGATGATGCAGGAAGCGGCATTGTGGAAGAGCAGATGTGGATCCATGGTCCCACCTGACAACAAACGGACAAAAAACACAATTATATTTTATATATATATATATATAATAGTTATACATTTAAATCAATAAAAATCTAAACTTAAAATTATCACGAGTTGTCACATTTTCAAAGGGTGTATAGGAAGAGGTCTACATGATTAAAACCTGCCCTTTCTCCCATATTTTTATTTCCGGTTTGCTTAATGCTAATGCTAATACAATTAAGTTAAACAATTTAACATACGTAGATTATCTTATAGAAGACGACATATACAAACAGAGAAAACAAAAACACACAAATAGTTAACTAAAGTTAAATTAGACAAAATGATAAACAATGACATAAATATATTAAATATTATATTCTCTTGTGACTGCCGTCGGCCATTTTGCCCTTATCCACCATTACGTATGACTCAGACTATTTTAAAAAAATGACACAGAGCGAAATACATAATTTAATATTAAGACGTATTTTATCATCATTTTCAATTGGTTCTACACACTTATTTCCGGCCATGTTTTTATTAGAGCCTGTGTCTCTGCCGGTGTTAGTGACTCAAACAACTGTTCTTGAAGAATTACAACAGTTCCAATAATGTTGGGACGGAGAAGAGATTTATTTTAAAAAGTCAGTTGTCGGATCTTTTTTTATCATCACTGTCAATATTTGAAAGTGAACCTCTGTAAACGTTTGACGTACCAGCGTTCTCTTCCAGAACCTTTGTGACGTGACTGATCTCTGCCAGGATCCTCTGCTCCATGGACTGTTTGCCCAGACCAAAGTTCCTCAGGGTCATTAGACTGAAGCGGCGCTGCTCCTTCCAGATTGGGGAGTAATCTGCCAGAACCACTCCTGGAGCATGAGCTGAACACAGTAGCAGGTACACATTCAATCATATGTGAAGTTTATATATATAGAAAAAGAAAATCACGTCATAAGTTAAGCATGCATTTGACGATAGTGGCCAGCAGAGGGAAGCAAAGAATTTTTTTTTTAGTCTTCCATAAAACTTAAAATTAGGCTATAATTGTTTTAAAATACTGACACATATCTTTCAAATAAGTCAAGGGATATGTTGAATATTTAAAAATAAAATATCAGAAAATAAGAGTTTCTTTTACAATAAAACATCTTAAACCTCGCATGATAAAGTCATGCTGCAGAAAGTATAGTAATCCTGCAAATTTTGCCTGGTACCTTGGACCTGGAAGGCATAATTGAACATGATGTCCTGTGGTTTTCCGCAGAAATCGAAAGCTTTGCTGACAAGGGTTTCTTTAAAGGCCTCTAGACCGTTGACAACAACCAGAGGTCTTGACCCAAAGAAGATGCTGTAGACTTTGCCATATTTCTTAGTCAACTGTGACACAGAATAAAACACATTTATTACACAGTGACAGACAGTACAAAGTCGTACTTTAGTCTAATGAGGAATACACATTGAAAACAAAATATCTGGTGGCACTAAGTTAGTTTATGGACATGTATCGGTAACGTTACCCTCTCCAGATCTTTGATGGGACTCTTCAGGTTGAGCTGCAGCACATTTCCAAAGATGGGGATGACCCTGGGTCCTGGGGGGAATTTCTCACCCCTCTGACCCTGGAGGAGGAACAGAAGCAGCAACACAGCCACAAAGAGCATAGCCAAGGAGGCCAACATGGTGACGTGGTGGTGGTTGTCGTTCCACTGAGTCCTTCTGCTTCTGCTCTTTAGTTGCAAACACAAACAACCTTTGTACATGCTGAGTCACACTGTTGTTGTTGGTTTTTTGGTTGTTTTTTTTAATTCAACCTGAGCAATGATTATATAAAAACCGGGGTCATGTCATGTCACGGCTGGACATGAGATGATGGTTGTGGATGTTTTTCACCTGGTGAATGATTCCTACTTTTTGTTGATAATAAATGAAAGCTGGTGTGATGGTGAAATCGGTCAAATAAAATGCTCACCTCCAGTCCTGTCCAGCCCATACTGGCTGCACCAGGTGTAGGATGCATAAGGTGCAGCCCTCTAACTGGGGTCATAGTAAAAGAGCCAAACACTGCCATTGAGGTCCAACTTTGACCAATCCGCTCTCGTCTGCACCTACTTTGACGCAGGACATCAATTGATTTTATGTAAATTACTTTCAGTTGACGATACGATATTATTCAAGTTTTTTTTAATAAATAGCATTTATTCATCTATATCTCCTTACCCAACCAGGGTGTGGGATCCTTTAACCACTCTGTCCCAGAATGCCCAGACCATTTTTTAACATTGGGAAACAAACCCATGACCTCCTGGGAAATAAATATATATATATATATATATATGGTTTAGTTTAATTTCACACAGACAAACAACCTTTGTTCCAGTGGTCAAAGGACCTAACTTCACATTTCATTTCAGTCCCAGTAAGTTGATCCATTCCTTTGTCTTTTAAAATCCCCTTTACTTTGGAAAAAACAAACAATCAGACGTTAAATTGGTTAATATTGATTTTTTTTTTATTACTGCATCTAGACAATCATCACATGTCCTTAATGGTGACATACAGTTTATTTCTTCAGCTCAAACTCTTATCAGATCATTAGCATGACATTGGCTGACGATGTCTTTTAAAATTCATTGTTAAAATTCATTGTTAAAAGTCCAATTCTCAAAAGTCGTTTCTTGCTCTGCTGATTCAATCACACCCAAACCCCTTCTTGTCCCTGATTTGAGGAAATAAACGCCAACCATCTCTGTTGTCTCAGCTGCGACTGCAGACCGTTTTTCTTTTTACTGTGTTGCCCTGAGTTGGACCTTCATGCGGTACGGTTTAGGTGTGAGTGTGACTCCATAGACTGGAGTGAAGTCGGGTTTTCCATCTTCTTCAGGCCAGATAAAGTCAAACTTCCTCAGCAGAGTGGTCATGATGAGGAACAGCTCCATACGAGCCAGACCTTCTCCAAGACACATGCGAGGACCTGAGGTATATGAACATAAGAGGGAAATGTTTTTGACTGACTGCTGATATTACAGTGGTACTGATGCTGCTCATCTGTGTTTACCTGCAGAGAAGGGCAGGAAGGCATCAGGTTTGAAGAACTCCCCCTTGTCATTGAGGAAGTTTTCAGGGTTGAATTCATGGGGGAATTTCCACTGTCCGTCCTCATTGAGGGCTGTGCCCAGGTTTGGGATGATCATGGTTCCCTGGGTAAAACAATGAACCATTACAAGAACTGGTCGAGCAAACTGCAGGTAAAAGAGACGTGTTGGTCGGTGTTGGTGCACAGCAGGGTGGGGTTCACTGACCTTAGGAATGAAATATCCCATGAGCTCTGTGTCTTTAGACGTTTCATGGAAGACACTGAGTGGAACTGTGTTGGCTACTCTCTGAGATTCATGGATCACAGCCTGAAGTGGAAAAAGTGAATGTTTTACACAAACTTGTTTTGTAAAGTGAAAAGTCAATTGGTTGTCATGGTGACACAGCAAACCACTGTAGACACAAGCAAATGTGACCTCTGCTGTTGACCCATCACCACAGTGAACAGGACGTGTGGGACGATGCCATGCTCAAGGGAACTCAGTGCCAACTTGGCAGCTGGTGGACTTGAACCTGAGACCTTCTGGACCCATGTCACCACTGCCCTACTTCTAATACTTTTAATAATTATCTAATTATAGAGAAAATATGTTAAATGATTTACCTGCATGTAGGGCATGTCGTGTCTGTCTTCAAAAGTCACCTGACCTTTCCCACACAGCACTGTGTCTATTTCCTGTTGACAACGTTCTGAAAAAAACAGGATTAAACAATAACTGAATAATATTGCTTTCCAAAACATATTGCATTTTTGATCAATATTTTTTTCATGGATTATATCAGAGCTACAAAAGGTCTGGACACAAAGACATACCTTGGACATGAGGGTTGGCCAGGAGCTGGAGGAACCCAGTGAGCAAAGTGTTAGAGGTGGTGTCTGTCCCAGCAAAGTGGAGATCCAGGAGATTACCTTTGAGAAAGTCTTCTGAAAACTCTGAGCCTTTCTGAAAGAGATATCAGAGGAACCAGAATCAGAGAGGGAGAGAGAGGGCGAGGGATGGAGAGGGAGGGAGAGTCATTCTAGCTAAATCATAAGTGAGAGAATGGTTCTTCAGAAATATCTACGATTAAATACCCTGTCTGAAATAAAGTCCAAAGAAAGTACAGTACTGAATGTAAACAACTATGAAAAATTCTCTATTTTTAAACCAACCAGGACCAGTGACCAGCGTCCCCACATCAGCACTTTTAAATATATGTCCCCATAAGTATAGCTACACATACACCCTCAAACACGTACATCAACCTTGTCCAGTCCGTCCAGATAACAGTCCACATAGTCCTTTGGTTCTCCAGGAACTCTGATCTTCTTGTGCTGGTTCACCAAGGCAGAGACAAGATCGTGCACGGTCTGGAAACACAAGAGACAATGTGTGTGTAGGTGTGTGTGTGTAGGTGTGTCTCATATTTGTCACTAACAGCTCAATAATGAGGGCATTTTATCTACTTTCCAAGGCTGTAAACATACCTTATAATTTTCAAAGGCTTTTCTGAAGGGCAGTGGGAGTTTACGAACGGCTGAGAATGAGTCGTAGAGCTGTAAGAAAAACAATGATTACATCATGTGCTAAAACATTTTCAGTTTTTCAATATAAACAAATATTTGCCATACTAACCAATAGTGTATACTGCATATATATTTAAGGACCTCAGAGGTTGTGACATGTCACAAATTCTGCACTTATTGAGCTCTTATCTCCAAGTTCAGTCACCCACACTATTTACCTGTCCTCAAGGTTTTTCTCTGGTTGGGACCTTTAATAAATAAGTCTATTGTAAGTATAGTAAGTTTTCCACTAGTTTATTCCTATGACCTGATCAATGACATAAACAACTCACCAAAGCCCACGGTCCATTAGCCAGTTTAGAATTTTCCGTAAAACACCGAACAATCTCCTTGATTAAATTGTCACCGTAGTCGTAGCGTTTGCCAAACAGAACCAGACAGATGATGTTGGAGGAAATGTTATGGAACATGTGCTGAGGACTCAGGATTTTACCTGTAGGATAAAAAACATATTTAATAAGATATTTTTACATCGTCAAAATCAAGTGGTTCTCAAACTGTGGTAAATATATAACTAATGGGTCTTGGGCTCCCTCTTGTGGTATGTAGGATACATATATAACTAATGGTTCTTGGGCTCCCTCTTGTGGTATGTAGGGAGGACTGGCTCTCAACCTTACTCACCGTTGTTTTGTTCCAGTTCTTCAATGGTGTGTTGCAGCTCAGTGTGGATTCTCTCTTCCATGGAATTCTTACCCAGGCCAAAATTCCTCATGGTCATAAGTGCAAAGCGTCGATGGTCCCTCCAAACTTTTCCGTGGTCTGCGAGAATCACTCCTAAAAAACAAAAAACATGCTGAAAAGATGTACATCAATAATCTAATTTTTTACAGCAGAAAATGTACAAAGTGGAGTAAATAGAATTTAAAAAGGTATATATAAATAAATGTGAACAAACTTTACAATAAAACTGAATTAAAACCCTCAAGGACATGTGGGCACATTTTGGTTTTGTATATTTTGCACACGTTTAGAATAAAAAGAATATACAGATTTCAAAAATTCCAATGAAGCAGTGGCCAATAAAGAACAGCAGTTTGCAATCTTCAACAACTTTCTGCATTTTATTCAAAATGTGCAGCACAGGGCTAATTTAGTTCCAGTGCTGATTAGATCAACATCTCATCAATCGATAAAACCATTCCACTTTGACCACACTTTTTTAACCTGCATGCATTCCGTTTCCATTAATTATTGACGTAGCTGCATTATTTGTGTCATTGACATTTACACTCTCACCCCGTCAAACCTGATACAAACTACCAAACATCTACCTTTCCTTTCAGTGACATCATTGACAAACAAATCTTGGGGTCGTCCAGAAAAGTCTGCCCCCTTGTTGACCAGAGCCTCCTTGATGACTTTTGTCCCACACAGCATTACAGCTGGTTTGGGGCCAAGGAATAAGCTGTAGATGTCTCCATAGGTTTTCCTCAGCTGAGAGAAAACGAAGGAAATAAGACTTTAGTTAAAAGTTCATGATTAAAAGATCGTTATTTTGCCTCTACAATGTTTTACTTTTTATTATAAAATTTAGCAAAACCAACTTAGGTGATAAATCTACATTAAATGAATGCATATAAAAGTTATAATAATAATGAAGTGAAATAATTCTGCGAAAACAAGTAGAGAAAAACGACTTTTATTATTATTTTTATTTTCTTCTATGCAGACCTTTCACCTAGAGTCCGAGACGAAACGATTGTCAAGTCATTACGCAACCGCCTTTCTAATTAGGCATTCACCAACATCAACATCTTACCTTTTCAAAGTCCTCCAGTGGGTTCGCCAGGTTCAGGTTTAAAGGTTCCCCAGCAGAGGAAGAGCAGCAGGTCCTGGAGGAAAGTTCTTGGGCCTCCGACATTTGAACTGAAAGATGAGGAACCAGACACAGAGCCACAGGAGGATGATTGTGAGCAGCATGGTGGAAAGAAGCGAGTGAGTGAGACTTCAACGAAGTTTTCAGTGTGAGGTCCTGTCCTGTCAGGGGGGAGGTCGTATCTCCGCCTGTTCTGGATGTAAACCTGGTCGCCTGCCAGGTGGTAATAAATGTGAACGCCTGAGCTTTAATAACGGGCGCTACTATATAGCTTCTCTTCTCTCTTCTTCACACTTTTTTTCTGAGAATACAATCTACCAGCAACCACGCCCAATCAGCGACGAGTTTATCATATAGACAGGAAGAATAAATGAGAACGACAGCCAATCAGAGCTCTTTATTTTGTAGAAGGCGGGTAAGGGAGGCACAGAAATAACAGTTGATAAACAAGCTGTGTTGCTCTGAATTGATCTATTCGACAGGGTTAAAGGGGCTAGAAAAAAAATGAATTGAATAAAATGTACGTAAACAAATTTGAAAAGAACCAACTCGGTTTGTATTTAGAAAAGGTATTGCTTCAATTGGTTACTATTGAAGCTAAGCTACCACGGTATTTAAAAGGAATCACTAAATAAACGTTAAGAATACGTGTACGTTCCTAGATCCGTTAATAGTTTCCTGTTTGTGTGTGTGTACAGGCCTGTGTTCTGGAGTTATTTACCGGGTAATCATATCAGTTTTCATGCAATATTCCTTTAAGTTTGTTTAATATCAAGATCGATGAGTCTGAACATTGGTTTTCAAAACCTGAAACAATTTTAAGCTAATACAAAAACCCCACAACAATTATAAGTTATTTACAGCGATTTTTTTTAATTGCAAGTTTTTATATGAAGTCACAATACAAAGAGTTCAAACGCTGAAGGTAAAATCTGACAATTTCTAACAATATCGTCAAAAAAAGGATAAGCTAGAAAACCATCATGTAGCTGATCTGGATCCTTGTCCTTCTTATAAAACACAAGAATAGTCATTTAAAACTTTTTTTAAAAATTGTGCTGTAACATTATTGACAAAGCCATTACTAGACTACACTGTGTTATAAATGTCAAAAAGCACAGAATTAACCTTTGTGTATTGTTAAGGGTTGTACCCCTCGTTAGCTTAGCATGGTATTACACTGTGTACAATGTGTTTGCTGCTGTTGTGGAGGAGCCTGATGAAGCTCATGGTAGGTTCAGTCATTCTTGAATTCTTTCGATGTGTTACTGCGGTCCGTCTCATTGCGTCGCCCTGAGTTGGACCTTCATGCGGTACGGTTTAGGTGTGAGTGTGACTCCGTAGACTGGAGTGAAGTCGGGTTTTCCGTCTTCTTCAGGCCAGATAAAGTCAAACTTCCTCAGTAAAGTGACAATGATGAGGAACAGCTCCATACGAGCCAGACCTTCTCCGAGACACATGCGAGGACCTGAGACATTAAAATCAAAGCCGTGTGACTGGTAGACCAACAACAGGAGCTGGTGCTGCACACCCACATCACTAGACCAGTTATAGACGTCAACACGGTCTCAAACCTGTGGCTCCTGAGCAAAACCAAAGCACTGATACATTAGACCAGTGGTTCTCAAACTGTGGAGCGCTCTCTAGTGGTAAAAGGGGGTAAATTCATATTTTCACATTTACATTTTCAATTAAATAAATCTGAAACATACCATGCACATAAGAAGCTGCTGTTATTTTTTTTATATAAAACATAAATCAAGGTTAAAGCATTGTTACACGTCACACTCAGTTTTCTTCTTCCTGGCTAACTGCAAACCAACAAAAGACTGTTAACTGTCCTGTCCTGTTGCTGTTTAGAAATGTAAAAACTTAAAGAAATATAAAAACATTGGTTCAAAAATTATAGTATTGGCCTAAAATTGAATCAAAAGGCAAACATATTCTTTTTATTTCTACAAACATCAAATACTTCATTTATAAATATTATACACGCACCTCACCAATCTGATCACATTTACTGCAGTGAACCTGCATGTATCTTGTCTTGCAATGCAAACTGTTATAGATTATAAAATACTATATTATGATATATAATATAGAGTGGTCTGTCATCTGTGTTTACCTGCAGAGAAGGGCATGAACGCCTCAGGTTTGAAAAACTCTCCGTGTTCGTTAAGGAAGTTCTCAGGGTTGAATTCATGGGGGAACTTCCACTGTCCTTCCTCATTAAGAACTGTGCTGAGGTTAGGAATGACCATCGTTCCCTGAGGAGAAAAAGGGGAAAATAGCAAGAAGTAGAAAAAACAAAAACAAAAAAATTAAAATTAACAAAAGATGCCTCTAGAGGGCGTTAATCCACCAATAAAAGAACGTTTTTTTGCAGTAGTTTATGGTTCACTGACCTTGGGAATGAAGTAGCCCATGAGCTCTGTGTCCTTAGTTGTAGAGTGGAAGACACTGAGTGGAACTGTGTTGGCTACTCTCTGCACCTCGTGGATCACAGCCTGGAGATTGAAAACACATATTTAATTACTTTGTTCTTGACTCAACAAAGCAAAGATTTGAGTGTAAATGATGATAAAACTCATTTTATTTTTGTGTTTGATATGCTTCATTGATGTCCCTCCATGTCAATAAAAAAGGGTTCTATTCAGGAATTTACCTGCATGTAGGGCATGTTGTGTCTGTCTTCAAAAGTCACCACGTTTTTTCCTTCCAAAACCTGGTCTATCTCCTGCTGACAGCGCTCTGGGAAACAGGACGTGGTAATAGTTTCTTTTAATCCCTAACAAAATACACATTAGTTTCAGAGCTCTGTATAAGAAAGTGGTGCCCTGCTTCCTGAGGTTGCCCTACCCAGGAAAATTAATTGTATCAGAGTGCGTGCGATGTGTTTGGCTCTCACATTAGACAAGAGGAATGCCTCGTCTTATGGCATAATTACAAACTACTAGTTTAAACATGTGAGCTGACTGTGTTCTCTCCAGGAGGCCCAACAATATCTTCATCTATGTGTTCAAATGGGGTACCACTGATATAAGGAGTGATCTAAGTGGGGAGGGTCTAACTTTGTGACTGCTGGACAGCTGGCACGTTGGACAACTCCTGCAATAACCCTGAACATCTCGCCAATGAAGGCGTGCTGCTACTCTCTCTCTCTCTCTCTCTCTCTCTCTCTCTCTCTCGAGGGTCTTTACACCACCCAGATATCCTGTCCACAGGATGTCAAGGCCCTTTGTGGACAACAAGCTGCTCTCCACTTCCTCCTTCTGGTTGGTGATAGACTAGACTATTTTACTCCTTCATTTCTGTTCTGTTCTGTCCTTCAGAGTGTCATTCCCTCTTTGCAGGCTGCTCAAATAAGTGGGAATCTACAGCAATCTAGCCCCTGGTTCCTTCTAGGTCTACCCCTACTTTCTGGCATCTTCTGTAGTGTTCCTAACAATTTTTCTCTCCACCTTTGCCTGCAGGGGGCTCCTCTTATACCTCAAACACATCTTCCTAAAGTTGTAGATTTTTTTCCCTCATGAAATTTATGTGACAATAGATGAAACATGTTTCTACAGGTACGTGTGGTGTACCTTGTACGTGTGAGTAGGACATAAGGTAGAGGAAGCCAGTGAGCAGTGTGTTGGATGTCGTGTCAGTCCCAGCAAAGTGAAGGTCCAGGGCGTTTCCTCTCAGTTGTTCTTCTGTAAACACTGAAACCTCATCCCGTCTCTGAAAAAGAGAAAGGACAGCTAGTTTATTTAACCACAATGGCTGAGTTTTACTGTGCCAGCGACTCTACATGTTTACACACCTGGACCAGTCAGGTGCATTAAAACAAGCTCAAACTGGTTCACACCAAACTTGTACAAAGTCCTATATAAAGTGATAAACAGGAGGCTCTAACTTTCAGGGAAAACTTAAAACCTTGCACAAAGACCTTGTCAATTTCATCCAGATAACAGTCCACAAAGTCCTGTGGTTCTCCAGGAACTCTCATCTGCTTCAGCTCGTTTAACAAACCGTTGGCAAGTCTCTGAACAGTCTGAAACGACATTTGTGGTGATAATTTGCCCACTTTATCCATGTTACAAATGTTTGGATAACATTATAAAAAAAAGAATAAATTCCTGTACCTTGACGTTGTCAAAGGCCCTCTTGAAGGGGAGCGGCAGTTTACGAACGGCTGGGATAGAGTCGTAGAGCTGTAATGAAGGTTCAGTCCTTATTACCGCTAACTCCTTAGCAGTTTATCCCTTAAATACAATTTCATCAGCAAGAAGAGTTTAGCAGCACAGACACAACTCACATCTTTGTACTAAGGGTTAGCTGAAGCAGCGAAGCTAACTTAATTAACTCCCAAACTTATTAGCTTAAACCGCTAATGCTTAGCCAATGCTAACAAGTCTGGCTGTGAAAGTATTCGTTAATGTTACTGCTTTAAATAATTAGGTAAAAACTTCAACAACAAAGGCGATAGTTGTAATCAGAGATGATGTTGTTATTGAGCTACAAATCCATTTTCTGCAACTTTGAAATATTCCACTATCGGCTGAAATTCTGATTCCACTGTAGCTGACGCAAACTGGAAGCCATTGCTGAATAAAAACAGTTAAGTTTACTACCACGACCTGAGTCTGATGACTGAGAAAGATCAGCAGGACTCACCATGGCCCACGGTCCGTTAGCCAGTTTTGAATTTTCCGTAAAACACCGAACGATCTCTTTGATGAAATTGTCACCGTAGTCGTAGCGTTTGCCAAACAGAACCTGACAGATGATGTTGGAGGAAATGTTATGGAACATGTGCTGAGGACTCAGGATCTTCCCTGCAGAAGACACAACGTGTGGATGTGTAAATGGACATGGTCAAAAGTATTACATACATTTAATACAGTGGTTCATAAACTGTGGGGCATGTACCACCCAGTGGTACACCTGGAAATGTGGGCAATCATAAACGTAGCAGCTGCAGGTCGGAGCGAGAACTCGTCAAAAGAGGAGCAGAAATCGAACCTTCAGATTATAATCCACAGAAATCCCAGATTAAATTGAGCGGCACGTCGTACCGTTGTTTTTCTCCATTTCGGTGATGGTGTGTTGGAGCTCTCCGTGTATCCTCTCCTCCATGGAGTTCTTCCCCAGACCAAAGTTCCTCAAAGTCGTGAGTGCAAAGCGTCTGTGATTCCTCCAAACATCACCGTAGTCTGCCAGGATCACTCCTGGATGAACAGAGGTGAAAATGTGATCCGTTAATAAATTATTGTTGGCTTCAGTGTTAACGAACTTAACAAACTTTTGAGCAGTAATTTACCAAGAATACGTTTAAATACTTTTTTTTTTACCTGTGCCTTCAGTGGTGTCATTAACAAACAGATCTTGAGGTCGTCCTGCAAAATCTGACGCTTTGGTCACCAGAGCCTCCTTGATGGCCTTTGTCCCATTGAGCATTATAACTGGTCTGGGACCCAGGAAAAAACTGTAGACGTCTCCATAGGTTTTCCTCAGCTGACACAGAACAAGGGAGAATGTCATTAAAATGTCCAATAAATAAATAAATAAATAAAATCTTAAACTATTGAAAAGACACTTTAATGATTGTTATTTTTCCATGATGGACCAGATTACAATAGACTGAATTATTTGTCGTTCGTCACACCACTGCACACAACCAAACGTGACCTCTGCTTTTAACCCATCACCAAAGATGATATGGTAAACATTGAAAACACTGAAGTGATCAAATGTATTTCTTTATCGGTTCATTGGATTTTCTTTATGACAGATTAAAGGGGAGTTAGTTTTAACAGACAACAGAAGATAGGTATTAAAAGATAAGATACAGTTTAGATGAAAAGCAAAAACATTTTTAATTCTTTTTTAAGTTCATCAGCTTAATGAATTAAATTGAGCAGAGAAATTGCTACAAGGAAGTTGAAGATGCAAAATGTGCAAAATAAATAACTAAGAGTTTGCCAGCATAAATACAGAGGATAGCTAAAGGTTATTTGGATACTAAAAGTAAGTGAAATAATTTAACTAAAATCTTCAGTGTTAACAAACATTAGAGAAAATATCTTTTAATCCATTTCTGTGAGGAGCACTGCAAACTACGCTACAGTATGATATAGATGCATATTCCAAGACTAAACACAGAGCAATTAGTGATGTCACAGAAGTTAGCCTGTAAATGCTTAAACATATAAACAAAAATGTCAACAGAAAATCAAAAAATCAATGTTAACCAACTGCTAAAATAACTACATTTGTTTAATTAATTACAAAAGTTAACCAAGACAAAAACCAAGGCTGGGACAGGTCCGGATTTACTCGTCTGTTTCAGACGTATCAAACTAACCTCACACGTAATATGTTAGGTTCAAAAAGTCTTTCAGTGAAGCGGAGGTGAAGCCAGTATAAACATGACCTCTGGGACAAGTTATGCAATCAAAGAAAACAAAGCTGCTCCGTTGCTATGTCGCTCTTTTGTTCAGTTTCCTGTAGGGATCGGGTTGCACCGCTCTGCTCTGCTTCACAGTAATGAAAGGAAATTCCAAGGGTTTATTTTCTATTCCTTACCCTCTCAAAGTCATTTAGGGGGTTGTCAAAGCCCAAGTGTAAAAGGTTCCCCAGCAGAGGAAGAGCAGCAGGTCCTGGAGGAAAGTTCTTGGGCCTCCGACATTTGAACTGAAAGATGAGGAACCAGACGCAGAGCCACAGGAGGATGATTGAAGTCAGCATGGTGCATGGAATGGTCTGAAATGAACCAAGTCCTCGGCTGTAGACGTGTAGGCAGGGCTTGCTGTGAAAGGGAAGGTTAAAGTCTTAACTCTGCCTCTGCTGGATGTGAACTTTGTCTCCTCCGCGAGTTCACTGAAAACAGAGAGGAGCTAATGAAAAACCTAGGCAAGCTCTGACTGGATCGGATCGGTGAGTGTGACGCAGATGCAGCTGTGGCTCTGTGCTAACAAACGCAGTCCAAGAAACCACACAGTAATACAACGTCTTACATCACGCACTTTATTGTGAGTATCCCTTTAACACAAGCTCTCCACGGTGGTCCAGGCAGACCACAGACTACTGATGTAAACAAACTCAGCACTGTTCTGGTTTCCATGAAAGCTGACTGGAATGCGTTGTCATGCACAAGCAGATCCATTCTCTATGGTTCCTGTCATGACAATCCAGCGGCCTTGAATAATCATACACTTCACAGACGGGCTGATCTGAAGTCAGGTTCAAGGCCAAACCTCCGCTCCTACTGATAAACAGTCAATTTAGCTCGTGGTAACCTGAGTCCTACGTATGTCTAAATATCTTGTTTAAGCAGCTAAACTTTGATCTCAAATAAAATAAACTATTGTCCATGAACAAAAATCAAACAAAAAGTGTTTGAAATGACGTGTGACTGAGTAAAGGGAGCTGCAGGGAGATAAGCAGAAGATAACGTCTCCAGGCCAAGAGTGAGTGTGTGTGTTTTAGTAGAAGTCTGTGAACATTAACAACTTTTCAGGCTGTTTGACCTAAAAGACAATTTCCTACATTTTCCTACATTCGTTTTCTTTTTACATTAGAATAGATGTAACGAACGAACCCAGCTGCAGGGAGATAAGCAGAAGATAACGTCTCCAGGCCAAGAGTCACCAGGTACTGAGGTTTCTCTTTGAATTTACAACTATAACAAAAAAAGAAATCACTGCCTCAAGTCCCGTTCATAAATGATGGTCTTTCTGTTTGGTATTTTTTGTCTGTAAACCTCCAGGATGAGGTTAACTGCTCACTTTGTATTAACGTTAGGTGTGAATGTGAATGTTGTGTTTTCTCTGTATGGGAACCTGTAATTGAGTGGAGAACTGTGATTGGTTACAGACTTCCTGCTAAACCTAAAAAACGATTAAAGCTTAAAATTAATTAAACTAAATTATTCAATCACTGGTATTTTTAGTTATTGTATTTTCCGGACTATAAATTGCTCTGGAGTAGCAAACAATGCATAATGAAGAAGAAAATAAAAACATATATAACTCACACTAGCCAGCTATAGTGCCCTCTAGTGGCTGTCAGTGTAAAAAGGGAACAAGTCTCACTCCTACGCCACCTGTGTAAAAACAGTCTAATCCTGTCTGGCCCATATTTGTTATTTGTTAATCAAAGTTTGTCTGGGCCCAAGACCAGACCAAAAATGTGTCCATCTCACCAAAACTCTATAACATTTGGTTTTCAGAACATTTCATCTAAATAAAAACCAGGTTTGGAGATGTGTGGACTGGGTTCATGAGAGCACCAGCCTAAAGGCTCGTTTGTCTTTTCCCTTCAGTTTCGTTCTCTCCTGGTGACACTGTGGTGTTATCAGGAAGCTGAGGTCAGTCAAAGGCCTAGTTTTCCCGAAACATGACCATCCCAGAATTTCTCAGCTCAACGCGACACTGATAAATACTGTTTTCCCGTCAGGTAGATTTGTTTCACTGCTAAATGTTTGCTGAGAGTAAACAGATAAGAACGTAAAAGACAGAAGTTAAAATCTGGAAACCAACCTTACACTTCACTGTTTATTCCCTACAAATATAACACTCTGGACTGTCTTTGCATATAGACCATGATTCACTAAGGTGTATCATCAGTGACTTTTGTTTGTGTTTATGACACAGGTATAACGTCATACATACATAAATACATACATAAACTATAAATTTATAGTGTGACTAATCAAAATTGATGGAATTAATAATGTGAAAAAATGTCAAGAAAAATAACACTACATGTTGAAAAGCTTTAAATAATTCAGAAATTAATTAAGATTGATGTCAGAAATTAGCAGTTAATTAGCAGTTACCACGTTCATTTTTACAGCCCTGAACCTATATCTAATATAGAGATTCTCACTGGTTACATCTGAACCGTCCTGTGGAATAAGGATTGTCACTACTGTAGACAAGCACAAATATATGACTGTATATTAACATATAACCAAGAACAAAGCACTCAGTGTCAGCGCGTTGACGAGAAAGACTTTTACAAACTCCCCCACACACACGTAGGACTGTAGCTTTGTGGTAAGTGAAGTCAGAGGTCAGACAGCAGGATGTAGGAAGGGTGGATGCGAGTATTTGGAGGTGAGTGTACGAGAGTGACACACATATGGGAGGGTCAGTCCTGTTCTGCAGTATATATAAACACGCACAACTGCAGCACACACTGAGGACTGTCGGAATCGTGCGAAGACGCAACTTTTATTACAGGAGGGAAACGATCAGCGATGGCCAACCCCAGTGGTGAGTCTGTCTGTCTGTCTGTATCTGTCTATCTGTAGCTACTAGGGTAGTTGGGTCAGGAAGGTTTCAGGTTTGAGTCCACTAGTTGCCAAGTTGCCACTGAGGTGCTCTGAACAAAGTGCCAGTACACCTTTGGTGACGGGTTAAGATCATTGTGACGGGTTAAGATCATTGTGTGCTGTGTCACATGGAGAAATAATTCATTTTTCAAATACTATCATTCATCTAGTTATTATTTTTCCAGTTCTTCTCTTTGCTCTATAATAAACCTTTATCTCTGATTAGACGGACTGGGAAAACAATGTGCTGATATATGAACTGACGCCTGGATGTAATATGTCCCATCATTTTTTTACTGCAGCAAATACAGGAGCGGATTTTTGACATAGCTAAGATGTGCCTCAGTCTAGGCTCTAAAAACTATTATATTAAAAAAGAAGTCCAACTCACCACTGAACCACTGTACTGGCCCCAACAGAGTGGCTGCGTTTCCCTCAGAAGTCAGTGTTTCTCACACACAATGACTGTTTTCTTTCTCAGATGTCTTCACTCATGTGGATCTGAGGAGCCGTGAAAACAACCTGCATCACCGAACCAGGGAGATTGATCGGGAGCGTTTGATAGTGCGCCGGGGTCAACCCTTCTCCATCACTTTGCAGTGCTCTCGCTCCCTCAGCCCTCAGCACCACCTGGAGGTGGTCCTGCACCTAGGTGGGTAAAACCCCATTGAATAACCTGTCCACTTCACAGTGAGGGTTTAAAAAAAGAGTATCTCAGTTTTACAGGTCTTTCAAAACTGTGTATATAACAGAATATTTGAATATTACCTTGCGCAAAGAGGAAGGATGGAGTTCTTTTGGTTCCAAAGATCCAAACTTGTATGGCATAGTTCTAGATTATACAGTTCTAGTTTTGTGAATAAGGGGTTGCACGACTTTATTATTTATTTTAGTGTCGTCACAAATGTAATAAAATACAACATCGACTAGTAGCAGGTGACGTTATACATATATTTTTTTCAGTCGTTAAAAAATAAATCACGGGATTTGACAGCACTGAATTATATCAATCCTTAATTTAAGACTACAACTGCCATAAAGGTAAAACAATTGGGAGAGGAAAACAACACAAAGGCAAGGATTTAGACTAGCCTCATTTAGCCTAGCCGCCATGATTTTCACAAAGACACGAAGGTCTTCATCCGCGGTGAAATTAGCCCCTCACTTTCCCTCTACTTTAATAGTCTGGGCCGAAAGGTAATTCAAAATCCCTGCTTAACACGTTTTCTTCCTTCACTATTATCCACGTCCTTACTTTGGAATCCCTGACTTGGAATACAAATAATATATACGTTTATCAAGCAACAGAAGACCATTTTAATCTAATCGTTGACGGACTACTTCTTTCAGCGCACTCATCTGTTGGTTCGAGTAGCTCAGTTTCCTGTGGTTCTTTCCGCCGAGGCGTTCATAAAAATTGACGTCAAAATCATGTAATCAATGATACGTCGACGTAACGTCTGAATCATGTTGAATCGTATTAAAACAAAATGGCTGACAAACTGTCCTTATTTTAAAGGGTGAAAGTTAATTCTGCTCTGTTTTCTTGATTTTCGCCAGGTAAAAGAGATGAGGTGGTTATTAAAGTTCCGAAAGAACGCACTTCTGGGGACAAATGGTGGTTTTACCACGAACAAGTACAGGATGAAATACTGCTGACTCTCCACAGTCCGGCAGACGCCATCATTGGACAGTATGGAATGGAAGTTTTGATATCGTCAGCGGATGGACACATTTTGCAGAAAACAGATAAAATTGGATTCCACCTGCTTTTTAATCCCTGGTGCAAAGGTAAAAAAACAAACAAATACACATATACATATATATAGTACCATTTTATTCATCAATCAAAATCAACATTGTTTTTTATATAAATCATTTGTGTGTGTCAGATGATGATGTCCACCTCCCTGATGAAAGTCTACTGCAGGAGTACGTTCTGAATGAAGATGGGATTGTTTACATGGGCGAATGGTTTGACATTGGCCGCAAGTACTGGAATTACGGACAGGTACTTTTCTCTAATCTGAATTTTTTTTTTAAGTAATACAACCTTAATTTAATTCCTTGTTCAACCTAAGGCAGTGATTTAATTATTCATTTGGGAGTTTTCACGTCAGGATTGTGGATATGTGACTGATGCTTAATCATGTAATATCTGAGCAGGGCTGTCACACAATTTAGAATTTCAATCTGATTAATCACATGGTAGCTAACACCTACTAACAATTAATCAAGAGAAATCATGGTCACAATTATTCACGATTAGTTATATTTGATAGAAATAAAGTAGTTCTAAAGACAGGGGCGAGAAACGACGGAATTCTGAATGTCATCCATCAACTGTGATCCCTGTGGAATCAGAATTTAACACTGTGGTTCGTAATGTGAAAGTAACTCCTCCACTCCTGTTACTGTCTTTAAAATATGTGCACGTGCTCGTGCACATACACACACATTTGTGGTGACCTGAGCGCGCCTGCGTCGGTCGGGGCCAATGGGAGGCCCGTGTGAATTGTCACAGCAGGGTGACAGCAGAGACCCTGGGGCTTTGGTTAGATTCGGAAATCAGCCTGTCTGATGGAGGAAAGTTCTGGACAAGAGGTGTCAGAATGTAAGGAGACCACACAAACAAGGGCTTGTCCCTTCACGGTCCACTGGGAGGACAGAAAGATGGATAAACAAGAGTGTCTGTGTCTGCCAGACCAGCAAACACACCAGTGACGTGACACCAGCTGCTGGGAAACAAGTTTTCCTTTTTCTTTGACCATTGTTCACATGTCTGTCTCCACTTTGTCTCTGTTTGTCTCAGTTTGAGGACTATGTTATGGACATCTGTTTCCAAGTTCTGGACAACTCTAAGGATGCTCTGAAGAATTCAAGGATGGACATAGTGAAGAGATCTGACCCGGTGTACGTCAGCAGGACGCTCACAGCAATGGTGGGTGTCAGTCTCCAGTGGTCAGGTTCAAAAATGAAACTTCATCCAGAGATACATGAAACCTTACATACCTAATTTCAGGTCAATTCTAATGGCGATGATGGCGTGTTGAAAGGCCGCTGGGACGGGACTTATTCTGATGGTGTAGCGCCGAATCGATGGACTGGCAGCGTTCCCATCCTTCAACAGTGGAGCAGGTCTGGGTTTAAGCCGGTCAAATATGGACAGTGCTGGGTGTTCGCTGGCATCGCCTGCACAGGTGAAGACATGGGTTCTAGAAAACCAAAGTAGTAGAGTTGTTATCAGATCAAATGATAAGAGCAGGGGTATCAAACTCATGTTGGGTCAGGGTCCACATACGGCCTAGTCATATGTCAAGTGGGCCGGACCAGTACAATCATCACATAATAACCTATGAATGATAATCAAAGTCCATATTTTGGTTAAAGTGAATAACCTGAAAAAGAAAGGAAAGTCTGAAGTTTTTACTCTCGTCCTTGCAGTCCTGCGCTGCCTGGGAATCCCAACACGCCTCATCACCAACTTCTCCTCAGCCCATGACACTGATGGAAACCTCTCAGTGGACATGTTGATGAATGAAAGAATGGAGACCATCGGAGAGAAGGACAGCACCTGGTGAGGACGAAAGAAGAGAGAAAAACATTTGAGACTTCTGATTGAGCTGCGACAGTAACGTCTGACGTCTGCTTTGTAAATTCAGGAACTTCCATTGTTGGGTGGAGTCTTGGATGAGACGGGATGATCTACCCAGAGGGAACGATGGATGGCAGGTTTTAGACCCCACGCCTCAGGAACTCAGTGATGGTACTACAACAGCTGACTGTGTTTTAGTTTTTTACAGCTTTCTTTTATGTTAGCTAAAATGTTGATTAGCCGGCGATAGAAAAAGAAAATGTCACATTTGTTCCTCAGGTGAGCACTGCTGTGGCCCATGTCCAGTTCAAGCCATCAAGGAGGGAAACCTGGGAGTCAAATACGACGCTCCATTTGTCTTCGCCGAGGTGAACGCCGACGTCATTAGGTGGATGGTGACGCGGAACGGGGACAAGGAGAAGGTGAGTGACGACGAGGTTCACCTTGACAATGATTTGTGTCGATAGCTGCAGAGTGTTGATGACGACGGTCATCTTTATCAGATCAAAGTGGACCACAGCGTCGTGGGGAGGAACATCAGCACCAAAAGTGTCTATGGAGACATCAGAGAAGACGTAACGCTGCAGTACAAATATCCTGAAGGTTAGTTTTCCAATATTTGTCTGCTGACGGTTGTGTGAACTCTACACTACAAATCAAACGCTGTATTTCTGACCTGAGTCAACATGGTCTTTTCCACAGGATCCAAGAAAGAAAGAGAAGTGTATGAGAAGGCAGGGAGAAGGGTCTCAGAGCCGACCAATGGGATTACAGAACCAGCACAGCTGGAGCTGTCCATTAAACGCATTAAACCTGTGTTTGGGACTGATTTTGATGTGATTGTTGAGGTACGTACTGGATGGATGATGGATGGATGGACAGACATCAATTAATCCATTCAGACATTTGAGGCTTTCTCTTCTAATGTGTTTATATGTTGTGTATTTTGTTATGCTGATGATTCTCTTCTCTTTCTCTTCACAGGTGATCAATAAAGGAAGCCGTGACGCCGTAGCAAAGCTATCCATTCTGGCTGAGGCGGTCACTTACACGTCTTTCTGCTGTGGCGAGTGCCAGAGAGAGGCCATTAGCATTACTGTACCAGCTCACAAAAGTTTGTAGTTCAGCTGAGAACCCCTAAATTCACCATTAGCCTACACTGTCTCATTGGATTGTGTCATTTAATATTTATTCTTTTTTTTTACTTGTGTGTCTTCAGCTCATAAGGAAGTTCTACGTCTGCGTTACGACGACTATGGCAGATGTGTCTCCGAACACCACCTGATGAGGGTCAAAGCTTTGTTGGAGATTCCAGGGATGAACAGACCCGTCTTCTCCGTGGTTAACATCCCACTGACCATGCCTGAGCTCCTGGTACAGGTGTGTGGTGCCACATATTTAGTATGTGTTCAATATGATAGTTTTTAAAATGTGACCTTTTTTAGGTTGAAGGTAACTTATTGAATATTATTTCTAGGCATGTCCATCCCAACATCCCTGGGTTCAGCAAAATAACGTGTCCTAAAAAAGTTTTCAAGATAAACGGCTGATTATTACAGTGAAAGTCACTAGATGGCAGCATTGCAGCTCATTTAATAAATATATTTCAATAAGCACCGGATTGTAACAGAATGCTGGTACCAGCAACTCATACAGTGGTCAGTACAGATAACTAAATAAATATTCATCTGAAATTAAGTGTTTGGACAACACCAGTATATCAGATAGAGAAAAAAATAATATTGGACTGTGTTACAGTCACGTCTTGTTGAGACTTTTGTCGTCTCTTTGTCTCTTTGTCCAGGTGCCCGGCAAAGCCTACCTGAGGGAGAAGGTGACAGGCTACATCTCCTTCACCAACCCTCTGCCTGTTCCACTGAAGGGTGGTGTGTTCACTGTGGAGGGCTCGGGTCTGCTGTCTGCTACGAAGGTCTACGTGGAGTAGGTGTCCCCACAGACTCAGCTTCTCTTCAGGTGTTTACTTCATTTCTTCATTGGTTGCCTTTGTCTTTCAGCGGCGACGTTTCTCCAGGTCAGAGGGTGTCGGTCAAGATCACCTTCTCACCAGTGAGGGTCGGGGTGAGAAAGCTCCTGCTGGACTTTGACTCTGACAGGCTGAAAGATGTGAAGGGAGTCGCGACTGTGATCGTCCACAAGAAGACGGGCATCATCTCATTTTATTGAGTGAATTCCAGAGACAGTCAGATGGATATTTGAGCTTTGAATGTTTGAACGTCAAAGATAATTCACTTTCTTGTGTGCAGATATTCAATCAACATTTTTGACATGACAATTTTCTTGATTTCTCACCAGACTGTCCTGTTCTTTTTAACCTGTTTTGTTCTTTGTATATTCCCTCTTTTATATAATTACTTGAAATGAAAGTCACTTCAGCAACAGTATTAATGTGCTTAAAAACCATTCTTCAGTATTATGTGTACGTGATCGCAGGAAACCTTTTTTTTTTTTTTTGCACTTTATCAACTATGATTTAGACCTAAACAAAATTTTAAGAAAACTTACTATTTAAACATATTTATTCATTTTTAATGACATGCTTTGCTCAAACTGTTAATGGGACTACGTACACTCTTCTTCAAGTAAATTTTTTTTTTTTTAAAGATACATCTTTGATGTTTTTGTGTTTGGGATTCATAAATATAGTAAATTAATGTATCCATATGTGGATTGAAATCTAATTCTATGGATTAGCAGTCGTAGATTTCTGAAAAGTTAAAGTACAAATGTGGTGCAAATAACTTACAAAGTTTGGAGCTGAAACACAGGCTTTAGTGTGGAACCATGGAGGAGAAGACAATCGTGGAGATGAACTTCAGGTGTGTGATGGTGGACAGACAACAGGAAGACACACATTACATCACTGAGAGAAGAAGAAAACATAAAAGTATTTTTTCAGTACAGCCACTTAACAGACTTGTCCTTAGCAACATTTTTATTTTTTTATTAAAAATAAATTCTGGCTGTGTTACTTAAAAAAAAACGATATAATTTAGTTTAGTAGGTGAGTATAAGTACCAGCAGGGGGCGTAAAGCAACCCGTTAGTCGGTCGAGCTCCTCGGAGCTTTCCTATTATCATCATTTTGCATTCTATATCTATTAAACCAGTGTTGTTGTTTTTTGGTTGTTTTTTTAGGATATTTTCTTTGTGTGTTTCCGTTCTTTTAAACGGAGTCACTAATTCAAATCAAAGCGTTTGAGGCTTTCTTTAAAGGTTTCTCTAATAATTCAAAGCTTAAGTGATTCAC